ATGAGCCGACTTTCACGGATCGCCGGATCGTCATTAACAAAAAAACATGATTGTTCGATTTGACTCGTTTTGGTTTCCTAATTCAACATAGGAAAAAAAATGCTATTCATAGGGCTTCTCAAAACGTTTTCTTTGTTACCTCTGAAGACAAGACGGGGTGGTCGTTTTCTAGGGGTAAAAAAGTGGGAGGTGGATTGGAGCGTCTCATAGATAAGAGCTGAGAAATGGAGCACGCCTTTGCCGTCAGTAGAAGAGGTGGAGGTGAGGTGATAAGGCGATGATCAGCTAGGGTCCAAGGGGGAGCAGAAGATTGAAAGGAACTCCCAACTACGGATGTTAAAACCACTGAGAACATAGAGTTCCAATGTGGATGGAACGTGAAGGACGAGTTTACAATTGATGTTCAACAAAAAGAAGATGGAGAGGATGTGTCATCGCCGTTCCGTGATCAACAAACACAACGCACGTACTGGCTGTTGATCAGGCGGCAGTTGATCTGTAAGCCGAATCGGCGGCAATCGGCTTGCAAACGTGCGCACACCTGCGAAGTTCCCTCGTATGATGACGAAATAGTTGCGCACCAAGCTTCGCGAACAGCCAATAAACTCACTCGAGCCACCAATATTTAGACGGCGCCAAAAAAGTATTGATGATAACAGGCCAGACGGGACTTGAACCCGGAAAGTTCAAAGTCACTTTTGCAGGTGTCACGGATAGAGAGATGTGAGAAAAATAGGGAGGACCAGCGTGGGTTGAAACTGTGCCAAGCTTAAACCGGAGGTGGTAAGACAGTAAATAGTTCGGAGACGTCGAGAGGTCATTTGACCTGGAGAGTTGGGTTCGGCGAGAAACGCTACAGAAGTGGTGAACGAGGACAAACACTGATGAGCTGAGTTAAATCTACGGTTGGAGTGCTAAGTTGAGAGATTGTGAATTCGCACGCGAGAGAGAGAGAGAGAGAGAGAGAGAGAGAGGAAGGCAGAATTACGTTCGACTGATGGGTGTCGGACCGGAATTCCAACTTAGGAAGTCGAATCGGTGAAGTTCCTATGGACTGAATGGTGGTCCTTCTCCGGAAAACATTACGGAATATTTCTCACTTAGTATTACTTTGCACCACCATAGAATCCACAGTAAAAAATCGTTCAGCTGTAGCACCCTTTCGGTGCCTAACTGCCATGCTACCAGAAGGAGGCACTGGGGCTGAGATAATGCCTAGCTACCCGAGCCTAGACAGGAACAGTCGAGATGCAGAGGTTGGGTTCGAACCACAGACCTTCCGGTCAGTAAGTTCGAGAGAGGTGAGGCTAGGCATGGATCGTAAAGAAACTGCTTTCACATTGCTCCTTCGTTCAGTGAGTACCGGTCATGGTTGGGACCTCTTCACGATCACTTTGCAAACTCTGTTAGGCAGGTGAACAGTATTGTGATGAACATACTTTATTCCAGTATAGGGGCCTGATTTACGGTTCTAAAACGGACCATTTCCATAACGCTAAAATTACGGTGATAACACATCGAGAATGTCGGATACAGGAAACAGGCTCACCGATTTAATACGTTTAGGTATAGCCGGGAGTACATCCCTTTTCCAGGACCGCCGGCAGAGAAGGAGCCACCGCCTCCAAGAAGTGACTGAAGGACGCAAGCGGGAACAAAGTGCGGGTCACCGTGAGCACACGACTCAAATCCAATCGCTGCATGGGCAAGTTCGGGCATTGGCGCGTGATATTGAGATAGGTCACGGTGAATCTGAAGTAGGTGTAGATGAAACGCTAACTCCGGTAAGCTGGTTTCGGATAACACATTATTTATCTGAAAGAAACTTGGTGAGAGGACGCCGAATCTCCAGACAAATCCCGAAACAAAAGATTGGAAAATAGTTACCGAAAACCTTATAGGTTTAGCCATCTGCACCAACCATTCAGGCCCGGGGTATTACAGCATCGGTGTATTGCATCCCTACATCATCACCTTTACATCAATCTCTCGTTTTTGTCGTGCAACGCGTACACCTATTTCATTAGGTATAGCTCGAACGCTCCCCTGGAGGGTGCAGATGACAAAAAATTTTACGACCCGGCTATTTGGCTACTTCTTGCGAGCACTTCGTCCTGGAGTAGTCCAGTGAATATAGTATAGTGTCAACGCACTTATATTTGATCCTGCCAACGGAGTTATGGATGGATGCACTTTAGAACGCAGTTTGGAGAGGCTATCGCTATACGTGCTTTCTAATCATCAGTCAGGGCCTGATTTGCCTCTCACCGAAATGAGTAGCCTACGGTTATTAGAGTCAGCGTTCTCTTACCCAACTCAAGCATGATCTGCGGTCTGGTGGTCTAACGGTGTGCCTTCGGGAGACGACAAGTAGAAACTTTCGTGGTCCCTTATTCACCGACAATATTGTAATCTTTCCATGCCCTATCTTTAACAAGTCTACACTAATTAAGCGGTGTCGCGTGGAGTCTCTTAGACCGCGCTGAACGATCAACATCCTATTGTTGGAATATCACAGTTATCATTATTTAAAGACCTTTATAGGGGCGAGATGGACCAATAGGTTAGAGTGTGAATTTACTGACCGGAGGGTCTGTGGTTCGAACCCGACCTCTGTCTCTCGACTTCCCTGTCTAGGCTTGAGCAACCTGGCAGTATCCCAGCCCTCGTACTTCTTTTACGTGGCATGGCAGCTAGGCACCGAAAGAGCGCCACAGCTGAACACTTTCTTAGCCTTTATAACTGAACCAACAGTTCCTCATGGAGCGACCAAGCTCATTAATGCTTTGAAGTGTTATCGTCGATCACAGCTAAGTCAACGCGCCAAAGAAGATCTTATGACTCGCCGCACCACACACCAGCCACAGAACTTACCCTCCCTACGATAATTTCAGTTGATAGGCTCATTAGTCGCGCACCGGATGTAAACAACAATTTAACCTTCAAGCGTCCTGATCAACGAATAACTGTCGCATTTCTCGATTTTTGAAAAATAGCGGTCCTTGTTGCGGAGTGGTAGAGCCAAAGTGGTGAAAAACATTTGGTTCGTTTGGGGGATTTCGGTTGATTGCCCATAAGTACAACGGCACATGTCTAGACGTAGTACACTACTCATGAGGCTGCTGAAAATCCTTCGAAAGCCAACGACCGAATTCGCCCTTCTTGAGGCTCATCTGGTAGGTGCAGTCCCCGAGCTTTCGTCAACCTTTTGTTCTAATTGAACCCGAATTGCACAAAATTAGCGAAATACACTCATTTGCAAGCAAATTTGGTTTTGCGGGAGACTCACTAACTTCGTTCAATTTGGGTTCCAGTAGAACATAGAACCGAAACTCGGGGATCGCGCCCAAAAAAGGGCTAAACCCATCGTGGGTTGTCGAGGGATTTCAGAAACCTCATGAGTAGCGTATTACGCCCATAGATGTATAGCGATATCTCGAATATCGTATCAACGGAAACATGAGACGTCCTGGTGCAGCACATTCAGTTGCTTGGGAACATCATAAAGGAGAGATTCAGTTGGGTTCCAGGCGAGTCTCCCGCTAACCCAAATTAGTTTGCAAATGAGTGTATTTCGCTTACAGTGACGCAATTTGTCGGGCCGAGACAAAGTGGTTTTTTGTTTGGAGAGCAAGAATCAAGGAGGGCCACTGCACAACAAAATTCTTGATCAGGGCTGGACGGATTCGGAACATGGGTTTTCCTGACAGCGGCAATCTCATGAAGTGATATGGACAGGAGATACAGCTCAGATCCTTCAATATTAGTTGTATTTTGTTCGAAGGGAATACTGCAGCAAGAATGGCCTGCAGACTTTAGCAACTTCAGCGGATAACATGAAGCTAATTTGTACCCTAAGGCCCTTTGGAACAGAGTCAATGACTGATGGATTTAAACAGAGACGGTTTCAGATCATAATTTGTACATTTTTGGACGTAGATTGACACACGGTCATACCAGGCATATTTTCGAAGCGGTGTAGCGCAGTGCAGTTACCATCGAGTACACATTAGAGGTCAATTCAAGATTCGATGCCCCAGTAGAAAGGCAGAACATATGAAACACTGGTGCACGCCAACTGACCTTGACGTAACCGCCCATGTACTGGGCTACCGAGGAATCCGGTTCCGCGGGGTTTTGCGCGGCAGATTCTTGACGCAGAGAATGCTCAAATGGAACGAAAGCTTTTTCGACAGCAGTCACAAACGCATCATGTGGGACTCCCGCACCAGCAATCACCATCCGCTCTGGCCTGTATATAGGGACACAAGAACAGATAAATAAGGCTTCTCAAAGACCAACAAGACAAGTTCCTGAGTGCGCCAAGACTACAATGGCGGAAACCACAGGCAAGATTTTTCGACTTTATCAGTTGAACCGCTATTCCCTCGCCTCAGTGTCATGGATTAGGGCTGAGAATTAAGTCCTGGCTGGCGTCGGACATGTTATGTTACGAGCCATTTTTATATCACGCGATACAGTGACCACATCTGAGAACGACTGATCAAGGACTGGTCGGGTGTTGCTGTTCTATTCAGACACGACAGTAAGGAATGGCAATACTATAGGGGGCGGACAGCTTGACTACATTGTTTGGCTGTCTACTTGTCCGCCGAGCTTGGCGGTTGGATTGTAAGCGCTTCCACACCAATCGAGGAACCATCATTATTGTGCGCTGATAATGTCTCCTAAATTATTGGCGAAACTCTTGCTTTCCGACGACCAACCTCAGCAACCAAACAGTATGAGCTACGTGTGCAACGGTGTATACTACTGATGGAGCATCGAGTAGTCAAGCGACAAAGCCCTGTTCCCCCCGTATCTGAAAGAAGGTCAGTATGGAAATTATACAGCCAAATTAGAGTACTTACTTATTATTGCTTAATATTCAAATAAAGTTCAGGAAAGTTCGACGAGGCTTAAGAATGTTCGCTTTTAAAAAACTCTGCTCAAATGAGATTTTTACTTTCGTGTTTGATAGCGTGTAATTGTTTAGTTCGTATGGGCCAAAAAACGACTCCGTACAGGAGGACGTTCATCTTTTCGCGTGTAACGCGCGTATCGGAGCAGAGCGTCTGCTTGCTATATAGCTTCCGTGCAGTCCGCAGGAATCACGAAGAATAAAAGCAAAAGGCAAAAGCAATCAATGGGTAAGTACCCGTTCACTAGAAACTTCATCAGTAATCCAGTTGCCTTAATGAACCAATGAGACCACGTGACTGTCTCGCTAGCGCGGTCGAGCCTACTGCCGATTAACATCAAAATCCATGGGAATGTTTGGGGTTCCGAAACGAACAGTCACAAGGTCTTTGAGTTGAAGGGGGCTTCTCTTGACGGACGCGAAGAGTATCAACTCACCTGTAATAGGTGGCTATGAAACTGATAATGTGATCACGGGTGATCTGACCGAAGTTTTGCTCCGGACAGTACCGGGGTAGTCCCAAAGTGTTGTCACCTCGGTAGGCTGCGGAGTGTAGGAGCTCATTCATGATCGGTTCAACTGGAGGTGCGCGCTGAAGAGCTTGCATTTCGAACCGGACACTCCGGTCGGCCATCTGAACCTCATCTTCAGTGATTCGGGGCCTGAGCACGGTTTCGGAAAGCACACTGACCATACGATCCATGTGAGCGCTGAGTCCGGAGACGGCATAAATAATAAAATCCCTGGCAAGAAAAAAAGAACAATGTGTTTGGGGAGATTTTTAACTCGGTTTGAGAGCAGGCAGAATCACTCGGTTTTCAACCCCAAACTACCACCAACTACAATAGCCACAACACCAAGCAAACAACAAGTAGAAATAAACGGACGAACTGCTCCATACAGTGAATAATGCAACGATCGTTCAGCTGTAACACCCTTACGGTGCCTAACTGCCATGCCACCCGAAGGAAGCACGAGGACTAGGATACTGTCAGGGTGCCCAAGCCTAGACAGGGGAAGTCGAGTGGCGGAGGTCGGGTTCGAACCACGGACCTTCCGGTCAGTAAATTCGCGTGTCAGGTTGCCCAAGCCTAGACAGGGGAAGTCGAGAGGTAGGGGCCGGGTTCGAACCACGGACCTTCCGGTCAGTAGATTCGCGTTCCAACCACTTGAGCCATCCCACATGCATGCAACGACAACACAAGATTAATCAACGGACATAGTCCGAGTGTGAAGTAGGATGATAACCTTCCTAACCGTCACACTAACCTTGAGATTTGGCAATCGAACACCGCACTGCATTGCTCCATTGCGTTCTGAACATCGTTTCTGTCTTTGAAGTGGTCCGATGACTATTGTCGAAGTACGAAGAAAGAGATGATTGATGAGAACCATACAAGCTCACGTGAAATGCCAGTTTCTCCAAATAGTGAGATATTCCGCTGTACCGGTCTACCTCATAACGAGGACCGGCATCTAGAATAACTGTGGTGGTCGTGAAAACGGTATGAATAACCAATTTTGCATACCTCCTATGGCGCACTGCGCCCCAAATCTGTCTTGTGATGCGATACGTAGACCATTTTCTAGGGTCGTTATCCTAGTTTCTTTGTCTTCTATGAAAGACTTCCCAGTCTGTTGCGGGACCGCTGCTAATGGGAGTGGGTCTCTGAGCGACGACTTTCCTGGTTCTGCAGCGTTTATAGACGAACTACAGAAGTAGTTGCGACGAATCAAACGTGTGGAAACGCAACGACTGACACGATGGACTAAAGAAAGCATAACAGCTGGTGTCCTGGTCGATGGAACAACTATCAGTAACCAGGCTGCAAAAAGACAAATGTTAGTGATGAGCATATACAAACTAAAAGCTGAATGTAAGCGAAGATCAGACAACAATAGAATCAACTAGGTTTATCAGCCATGAATCACTTGCCAAACTTACGTCTACCGAAAACGTGAAAACTGATAAGGACCAGTCAGGCCTCAGACTCAATGGTCTGAGCTCACTGAAGTCTCTCCTTTTACATGCATTGTACCCCAAAAGGAAGGGAACTCCTTAATTGAGGCTCTCTATCGGTAACTGACCGGGTAATCAGTAGCTGAAGAGTGACAGAGAACGCTGGTGGATTTCGCAGGCCCAGGAGATGGGGGAGACTTTCACTGCAAGCAACAGCCGCGCTCTGTTTCAGCTGATTCGATCAACCGAACAAAAGAAGCCAGATGTCAGTGAAACAATATGCGAAAAAGATGGAACAGTAATTCACTCCCTCAGTAGTCGTCTTGAGCGGTGGGCCGAGCACTTTAAAGAACAGTTCAGCTGAACTCCTTTTATGCAACCACTGGAAGAACCAAGAGTGCCCAAATGGAACATTGACACCAACTCGCCATCAGCAACCGAAATCCAATCCTGAAGTGCGACAAGGCACCTGGCCAGGATGGCCTGCATCCCGCGCTCTTCAAACAAGGTGGTGAGGCCTTGGTGAACAGTCTGACGACTGTACTGCAGAAGATTCGGAACGAAAACAGAGCACCAGTCAAATGGAGCTCCTCGACCGTCATCCTAGTTCTCAAAAAGGGAGCAAGAACGTCATGTGAAGACCACCATGGTACCAGCCTGGAATCCATCGCACCTAAGAGGCAAATTCGTGAGAATCAGGTTGGGTTTCGCCCTGGTTGAGGATGCATCTTTACCTTGAGGCAGATTCTTGAACAACGCCACTCCTTCAGAAGCCCCACATCGGTCGTTTTTCTTGATATGAAACCTGCTTTTGATTCTGTCAATCGTCAGAAGCTTTGGTAGTATCTGGCGATCAAAGATATCCCTTTCGAATTTCTACTCCTTATGAGAGCAAACTCCAATGGGCGCGTACGAGTATACGGAAAGCTTTTGCCTGAGTTCGCCATGTACAATGGTGTAAGACAAGACTGTCCTCTGTCAACTTTCCTTTTTAACTTTGTAGTTGACATGCTGCTTGAAATTTCTCCGCCTGTGCATGAAACCTCGAGAGTCGAAATGTTCCCGGGGCATTCCCTAGCAGACATTGAGTATGCAGCCGACATTTCCTAGCAGACATTGAGTATGCAGCCGATATTTCTCTCCTTGGTTCAGATCCCTTCCAAATGCAGACGATTGCAAATAACCTAAGTAACTCTGCCGCATGGTTTGACATGCATTTTACACCTGCAAAAAGCGAAATGCTGCTACAAGACTGGGTGGGATTAGACCCACACCTCATGCTTGCCAGGCGAGTCAATCGAGGTTGCAGGTAGGAAGCAGGGGGCGAGATGGCCCAAGTGGTTAGAGCGTAAATTTACTGATCGGAAGGTCCGTGGTTCAAATCCGACCTCCGTCACTCGACTTCCCCTGTCTAGGCTTGGGCAACCTGGCAGTATCTCAGCCCTCATGGTAGGTAAATTAGTTTAACTAGCCAGCTGTATAAGTTTCGGTGGACTAGCTTCAGACGGAGTTATTTCTCGAATCGGAGAGACCACGGTAGCTTTTGCTAGCCTCCGATACCTATGGTGCCGACGTGATGTCAATTTATCTGTCAAGGACAGAGTTTACACTGCAGTGGTGCGATTCACACTGGTTTGTGGATCCGAAACGTGGCCGCTAAGCGCAGAGGAAGATGTCAGTTCATCGGTGTCTCCGCAGCACTGGTTGGGTTCGGTGGGAATATCGGATTAGTAATGCAGAGGCACGCCAGAAGGTCTTCGGAAGGAATTCTCCCACGATAGGTGAACTACTCACGCTTTATAGGTTACGCTGTTTATGACATGTACTTCGCATGACAGAGGACCATCAGCCTTACAGAGCTCTTTTTTCCAGCCCTGTGCTGACTGGAAGCGACCACGAGGTGGACAGTATATGACCTGGCAACGAAGTATGAAAACACTAACCAGTAAACTTAGTCGGGTCGGAAACTGCCGCCTCCCTGGATGGGGACCCCGGGACTCATGACATTAGCAGAAATGGTCCAATGGCGCAGTCGGTAGAGCTCGTGTATCAGAGCTACCGCCTTCAGTAAGTAGGTACCCAGTTCCCGAACTAACCACACACTGTCTCCTTTTCCGGTGATTGAAATGGTAGCAACTAGAACCAATGGTACACGGTTCATAGCTGGTGAATTGAAAATGAATTGGACTGATAGCCACATGGCCCAAATGAGTCCATGACTGTCTTGTGCTTGGTAGCCTTCAAGTTACTTAATGTGAGCATTTGTCTTGGGAGATCGTACTGACCAGGGACAAACCATGACTGCATACAACAGACGCAGCATTGTAGACTTGTAGCACCTGTAAACTGCTCTTTTTCATGACCAGGGACATGACTGCATACAACAGACGCAGCATTGTAGACTTGTAGCACCTGTAAACTGCTCTTTTTCATGCTCAGTATCATCTTATTTTATTTTTCATTATCAGTCACATCGCTGTACAAAAGTTTGTTTTACTGAAATACAACCGCTACCGCCAGGTTGTTGGCTCCAACGTGACTTTAAGACTTTTGCTGAGTGACTGTTGTTGTGACCACCAGTTGGCTTTAATTGACTGCTACTAACACTAAACGTGAACAAACATTTCAGTTACAAACACTGAACTGGTATATTCACACTTGTGGATTAATATTTCAATCAACGGAGAACTGGAATATCAGGAGGATGTGTGGTGGTGTGGTGGTTCAACGGAATACGGAACTACGGAATCTCCTATTTTGAACTGTGAGTCAAGATTTACTTGGATTTTTCTCCTTGTGACTTTGTATCTGGCTTACAT